GCACATAACAACAACAACAACAACAAATCTTTTCATTAGCAGACCACGTTATCTTCCTTCTGTGGAGCTGATGGTGACTTCAAATCGCCAAGCTTTTTGGTTAGCAGACAAATGCCTTAACCACTGTATCACCAAAGCACCTTGATTATAATTGTAGAGGTTATAATTCATTTTTAATGTGTTTTTTAAAAATAGGGAGTATATTTCCATTGTTCAGAAATCAAGTACGGAAATGTTTACAGTTGAAACTGCTGTTAGTTTTTTATGTAAACATATACTTTTAAATTAAAGCTATTGATCATAGTTTAGGTAGTTTTAGAAGAAGGATTTCAGGGGTACTAGAAATAATATTTAATAATTATAGAAAGTCTAAGTGAGACAAATTATTTTCAATAAGGTCACAAGATTCTTTTCTCTGAATACACTGTCAACTTCCAGAATCAACTAATTCATGACAGAAAATACATAAACAAATTGTCTTCTGGAGAAGAGAGAACTGTTGTCATATACCCAAAACATGAAAACCTTGAAGCGAATGGGAATTCTTCAGTGTGTTTTACAAGCATCACGAAAAATGAGTCAACTCTGATTGAAAGCCCTACCGATGGCAGTGAAAAAGAAGCCAGCCGTTCTGAAAGCAGTGTTGATGCTGACAGTGAAGCCTCCGAATCTGAAAGTGCTTCAAAGCAGACTGTGTTGTTTAGATCCAGTAATGTGTCCTATGTGCACACAGATGGACCTATTCACCATCCAGCGAGTGAATTGCCAAACACCAAGGAAGCTGACAATAGTGATGAAGGAATGGCTGATGCTATTTCTGAACTTCGTTTGAGCAGCACTGTAACTGGAGATAGAGATCTTGACAGAGAAACTCAGCTGCTAAATATCCCAAATAATTTCTGTTTTTCAGAGGAGAAGCATATGATGTCTCACAGCCCCCAAAACGCTTTTCAGACCCTCTCTCAGAGCTATGTAACTACTTCTAAAGAATGTTCAGTTCAGTCCTGTCTTTACCAATTTACATCTATGGAATTACTAATGGGGAATAACAAGCTTCTATGTGAAAATTGTACTGGAAAGAAACAGAAATACCAAAAGGAAACCAATTCTGCAGGTAAATGCTTATTATTTTAGTATTGATGGATTATCTGATAGTTAGTAACTAATGGGTTGTAGATCCCACAGTAAGGAAATCTTAGAACCTTATTTCTAGACCAGGACTCTTGGGATCAGGGGTTGTTTTATTCATTGTTGTGTCTCAGCATTTAATAAACCAATGGGCAGAGTAGATTTTCATTGAAATAAATTGGAGAGTAGTAAGTATCCTCTGCCTTGAAGATATAAGTCTGCATGATCTTATTTCAGAGGACCAGCTGTCTAAAATGTATTCAGAAGTAATATCCCTAAAATTTGTAATTGTGTCACTAGTGAGATTAATGTGCTTCATAAACCACACCCATCTATTATAAATTCGTAACATAAAATATAAATTTGAACATTTCAAGTAATTGTATGATATGGAGTAGCAATATAATAGCTATGTTCAGGGAAACAGAGAAAAGTGGGAAAAGAGGGAATTGGCAAGTAAGAAATTTCCACTGTATCTCTAGCCTTGATTAAATGGAGAGAATACTCTGATCTTTACTGACTAGTAATTAAGGAAATAGATCCCTGGGTGGCACATTGGTTTGCACTTAACTAGTGATTGAAATGTTGATCGTGCAAACCCATGCAGCGACACTGTGGAAGGCAGGCCTGGTGATCTGTTTCTGTAAAGAGTACCGCCAGGAAAGCCCTAGGGAGCTCAGTTCTGCTCTATAACACATGGGGTCACCATGAATCAGAATCGACTCAATGTCGTCAGGTTTTCAATTAAAGAAATGTCTAGATGGGAGAAGGAATAAATACAAGTTTACATTAATCCAAGGTAAATATACAATTAGCCTCTTTCAAATTTTATACTAAGTCCTATCTACCAGTCTTTTGGAGCTCTGGTAGCATAGTGCCTAAGGCACTTGACTGCTAACCAGAAGGCTGGCGGTTCAAACCCACCAGCCACTCCTTGGCAGGAAGGTTGGGCAATCTACTTCCATAATGATACCGCCTTGGAAACCCAAGGAGAAGTCGTTATGAGTTGAGTCCGACTCCATGGCACATAACAACAATAACAACAACCAATCTTTTACTGAGACACCCCATGATTTTCAGTGGCGTGTGTGCTCCCTTTGCTGCAACTAGTAATTAACTCAACTTGCTCAACTACAGGTATGTTGCTGGTGGGCTAGTGGTCATTGGCTGAAGGGTACTGACATAAGTTATTACTAGTCCATCTGCTTCCTAGCTTCTATCATTTTGTTGCAAGTGTAACTTCTCCCATTCTTTGTCTTTATAAGTGTGTGCCTTTAAAAAAAAAACTTGCCCTCATTGTAGCAGATTTTCAGAAAGGAGTAGGGGTACCCTATAACTAGAAGTCCAATTTCTTGTTTAAGCCTTTTCAAAATGTGGTATGATATCTCTATATAAATATTTACTACTTGTATGTAAATACAAGTATGGTAGATAATATATGAAAATGGAACTTTACAAATAAACTTACTTTATTTTATGCAGAAAAGAAGGCAGAAGGGGTTTATACTAATGCCAGGAAGCAATTGCTCATTTCTGCGGTTCCAGCTATCCTAATTCTCCATCTTAAAAGATTCCATCAGGTAAAAGTGCTTGTAGTGTTCTGCAGAGTCCTAAGTCCTGTAGAATATTGTCAGGTATTCAGTAGTAATTTGTTGAATTTTAAAATTTGCTGTGTGGAGTTTACTGTTCAATTCACAGTATTTGAAGATATGGGAGAGAGGAGCCTAAATGTTGTATATGTTAGTGGAAAATAAAGTTTATTAAGAAAATTTACATGTAGGTAAATATTTGAGTACACATGGCTTTCTGAACTGTCATGATCCCACTGAGAGGGTCCTTGGGCTAGGGCATGGCTGGGCAGATCTAAGTAGAGAAAGGGTACCAAGGCAGAGCCCTGACCCTGTAAGAGAAAACCTAAATATTTTTAACATGTCAGGATTTGCTTCAGTTATTTATAGTTTTAAGCCAATACTTTGTCTCAATGAGATAGTTTTTTTGAATTTGATAATTTGAAAGTTCCTCAGGAAGAATGAATAACTGAAAATAGTAAATTTTTTTAAAAAGTTAGGAAGGGTGATTTTTTTTTTAATTGTGATTTGGGTGAAAATTTACAGAGCAAATTCACTTTCCATACAGCAGTTCACATAAACTTTGTCTCATGACATTGACCACAATTTACCACAATGCAACATCTCCTCCCAATATATCCTCCCAATAGTTACCTCTTCCCTGTGTCCATCCCTCCATGCACTCCTGCCCCCTGAGCTGTCTCCCTGTGCATAAGCAGCCCTTCTTTCTCCCATGATTGTTCTCTCCAAGGAGTGTATCTACCTCAGGTAAATGTTCAACTCCTATGCCTGTCTTTTGCTTGGCTGGAATTATTAAAACAGTTTAGTCAATAAACAAAGCATGAGTATAATTTAACACTATTATGATAAATGAAGTATTTCAAATCTGTTGGGAAGGGAGATTGATTGTTCAGTAAAGGTCTTGGAAAAAATGCTCAGAATATAATTTAGAACTTCACTTTATGTATCAATGCTATTTTCAGATGATTTTTTAAATTGTATAAAATAAATAATCAAAAAGACTATAAGAAACTATAAATGAGTATTAACCTGACTTTAATGTGGAAAACTTTGTAAGTATAAAACCCATGAAAGAAAATACAAGGAAAAGATTGAGAGCTTTGATTACACATCTACAACATTTTAATAGGCTACAGATTGGCAGGAAGAGATTTTCTCTATACCCCCACTTACAGAAAGATTACATTAAATTCTTAATTCTCTATAATCAAGATTATAGAAATTCAACAGAAATGAAATGGCCATGGAAAGCAGAAGCAGATATACCATTCTCAGTACACCTCCTCTTGACCTCAGAATAGAAAGTGTACATATGCCAGTGATTCTGTCTGAACAAGTTGGGTCATGCCAGATTTAAGAAGCTAGTTTTATGATGTGCCACAGCTTGCTTTTGGTACTTACATTCTATTTAGGAAGACTTTACTGAAAGATACATGCCCTTACAGAAAAATATTTATAGACATCATGATCCCTTCATGTTCTCAAGTTAAATGTTAGTATTAACAAAGCCACATTCTCATACCTAGTGGTCAGGAATTGTAGGCGGTAGAGCTCAAAGCATTGTCTCTGCGTCTAGTCAGTTAGCATCCCTGCAAGCCTGTAACTTTGTAGTATTTAGAACTGTGTTGTAAGAGACAACACTTACATGCAAATCTTATTTTAGATAGATAGTTGTGATAAATATGGCAAATTATTAATATCCTAAATATATAAAGCATTCTTAAAAATAAATAAGAAAAGTATCAAGACCCTAATAGTAAAATTGGAGTCCCAGTGTGGTGCAGATAGTTAACGTGCACAAGTGTTAACCTAAAGGGTGGAGATTCAAGTCACCCAGAGGTGCCTCTGAAGAAAGACCTGGTGATCCATTTCTGAAAAATCAGCCATTGAAAACCTTAGGGAGCACAGTTCTACTTTGACATATGTGGGGTTACCGTGAGTTGGGATCAACTCTACAGCAACTGGTTTAAAAGGTAAATGGATTAAAAAAAATACAGGACTGGCAGTTTATAAAAGAGGATATACAGATTCTAAGAGTATGAAAAAAAAAAAAAAAAAAAAACCACAACAGTCCATTGTTTCCAGCAAAAGAGATGCAAAATAAAATGACAGGGCGTTGTCTTTTTTAATCCATCAAATTGGCAGAGTTATAGTAGTATTGATGAGGATGAAGTAAGATATAGGGACTCTCATGTACTAGAACTGGGAGTATAAGTTGATAACACTGTGTAGAAAGTAATTTAGTAATATGTATCAAAAAACATTAGGTAATGTTTTGATAAAACAACTTTTGAACAAAAGCAATTACTTTTGACTATGTAATTCTACTTCTAATAACCTATTTCAAGGAAATAGAGATTCTACTCATTGTAGATCATGCCAGATGTTAGGCCTAGGCTAAGTGCTCAGTGTGTAGATCATCAGGTTTGTATTTTAATGTCATTAGTGAAATACAGTGTGACATTCAATTAAAAGAACAAAAGTCATGGAAAATAATGTCCAAATAGAAGGCTAGATATAGTCCAAAGATCATCCTCTGGAAAAAAGATTGACTTTATGTTAAAGATCTTTAAATATCTTGTTTGGTGGTACAATGGTTAAAGTGCTTGGCTGCTAACCAAAAAGTCAGTGGTTTGAACCTACCAGTCACTCTGCAGGTGAAAGATGTGGCAATCTGCTTCCATAAAGATTTACATCCTTGGAAACTGTATGGTCACTGTAAGTCAGAATCAACTTGATGGCAGTGGGTTAGTTACATGTCTCTTTCACCATAAGATAATTTCTCAGCAGCAAAGTACTGAGTGAGGAGGACACATTTGCCTGAAATGTTTTCACTACTGGTATCAGATGCTTAGACTTATAGAGGTTACCTGATGAAAAATGAAAGAAATTGTCTGTGGCACTTCATAAAAATTAAACTTTAAAAGATTAAACAATTACTCCTGGGATATAACCTCATAGTTTCATGTCAGATGTCATGGTAAGACTTCTAAAGATCATTTGAAAAACAAATTAGTAAGTGGTGTGTTTCAGTCAAAAAAATAAGTTTTTTTAAAAATTTTTAAATTATTTTTAAAGGTATAAAATAAACAGCCAAAGGGTAATCTACTTCTGTAGTGATACTGCCTCGGCAACCCAAGGAGGGGTCGCTATCAGTCAGGGCTAATTTGACGGCACATAACAACAACAACAATAGATCTGTGGTAAAATTATATGATTAGTATACAAACTATAAGTGCCAGTCATTAAAGTCATGAAAGCCCTACATGAAAGTTTGCACTGTCAGTTTTTGTCTGCCTAGACAACTCAAGATTTATACCTTCACATTCCAATGGAGTCCATTTCTACTTAGGGGTCTTCTGCCCAACATCCTTGACAATCTATCACTTTTTATTATCATTTCATAATGCAAACTATATACTTTTTTGGGTTCTGCCTTGGAAATTAAAAATAGAAAAAGAGGTAGTATTCCTTTAAGACTATGAAAGTTCATTTCATTTTTATGTAATACATAACATTTACTTTTATTGATAAAATATTTTTTTTTAATTGTGATTTGGGTGAAGATTTACAGAGCAAATTCACTTTCCATTCAGCAGTTCACACATACTTTATCTCATGACATTGACCACAGTTTACCACAATGTAACAACTCCCCTCCCACTTCCTCCTGATAGTTACCTCTTCCCTGTGTCCATCCCTCCATGCACTCCTGCCCCCTGAGCTGTCTCCCTGTGCATAAGCAGCCCTTCTTTCTCCCATGATTGTTCTCCCAAGGAAAGTATCTCCTTGAGGTAAATGTCCAACTCATATGCCTGTCTTTTGTTTGGTTGGAAACCACAGGTGTGGGTTCAATACCAACCTAAAGGGCAGTTAGAGGCCATAGTCTCAGTGGTTCTACCAGGCACTATCAGACCAGCAAACCTGATCCCCCCCCCCTTTTTTTTTCCTGCAAATGATTTTGAGTTTTGTTCCACATTGTTCTCCCTCTCTATCAAGGATCTCCTACATAGATCCCCTTCCAAGTGGATGACAGTGGTAGCCGGGCACCATCTAGTTCTTCTGGTCTCATAGTCATATAGGCTGCAGATTGGATGGAGTACCAGTCGCTAGGACTAATTGTTTCCATGACTTTTTGGTTTTCTTCATTCTTCTTTGCTCTGGATGAAGAGACAGACCCATCGTTGCATCTAGATGGCAGCTTTCTAGCTTTTAAGATCCCAGTCGCTACTCACCAAAGTAGGAGGTGGAACAATGTTTTGTATAGTATGTTATGCCAATTGAGCTTGATGTCCCCTGCAACTATGGTCCCAAGCCCACATGTTCAACTACTCTGTCCCTCTGGGTAGTTGATAAAACATTTTGAATGTTCAGGGTTATTTTTCCTTGTAATGAATGACTCATGAATGAATGTCATTGAGTTATAGAACTGAGAAGGATATGATCTAATCCACTTGTACCTAGCTTGACCTAGATAAGGTTGCTGAAGCTGAATTAAATTCACTTGCCTAGAGTCACATAACTAGCCAATCATTGAGTCAGGCCTAGACCATCAGGCTCTTGATTTTTGGTAGCTTTGCTTTTTATCCCATTGAATTTATTTTTCCCTAAATGTTGAAAAGCCACGTGAAAGTAAGTATTCCCATATCGATCATTGTAAAAATGCCAGTGTAGATAAGTACTCTTTGCAGTAACAGTTTACAATAACTTATTTTTAATTTAGTCATTTATCACTTTGGACTATTAGTCATATTTTTATATCAAACTAACTTGTAAGGATTCCTCTTTTGGTTTTGATTAAAGCACTATGCTTTAGATATAAGTTTATTACATTAAATATTTTTTGGTCATTTTAAGGTTGGCTTGAGTCTTCGCAAAGTGAACAGACATGTAGATTTTCCACTCATGCTTGATTTAGCACCATTCTGTTCTGCTACTTGTAAGGTACAGTATACTATTAAGATACTTAATTGGCTTGTGAATAATAGATTTCAAAGTATCCTATCTATTATTTATTGGGAGCTCTGGTAGCATAGTGCCTAAGGCACTTGACTGCTAACCAGAAGCCTGGCTGTTGAAACCCCAAGAGGGGTTGCTATGTGTCGGTTCCAACTTGACGGCACATAAGAACAACAACAACATTATTTATTGGGCCATGCTTTTTTTTTTAAAAAATAAGCTTTTCTTCTCAAAGAGAATTTTATAGTTAGTGAAATTAAATCAGAAACATGGGGTATTTAACACACTATGACTTTGTCCTTTGGAAGACAGAATGGTGAAAGTTGAAAAGATACATAAGGCCCAGTAGTGCTCTTGAAGATCAAAGCTTCTTGTAAATGCTTCCAGAAGCAGATGGTTGCTGAGAGAATTGAGCAGGTTTTATGTTCAGGATTTTCCTTGTGAATGATGAGCTTAATTGCCAGAAGTTTCAGTGTTTGGGAGTTTATATATTTTTCAAATCAACATACTAGTCATTGGGAGCTCTGGTAGCGCAGTGCCTAAGGCACTTGACTGCTCACAGAAGACTGGCGGTTCAAACCCACCAGCCACTCCTTGGAAGAAAGGTTGGGCAATCTACTTCTGTAGTGATACTGCCTTGGAAACCCAAGGAGGGGTTGCTATGAGTCGGGTCCAACTTGACGGCACGTAACAACAACAATAACAACAACAACTGAGTCACGTATTTGTCAGCTAAGTATAATACTTTAAAAATTAGGGTTAGGAAGCACATTGGTTATTTATTTAAATTTTATTGTGCTTTGGGTGCAAATTTACAGAGATGATTTCTTTTACATTCAACAGTTTGTGTACGTTTGATTTCACGCCCCAATTACCATCCCTGACCATAATACACTCTCCTTTCATCCCATCCCTGTGAACACCCCTCCCTGTGCCCTTCTTAGCTGTGAACTCCTATCTGTCCTGTTTCCCTCTATGTGAATACTGTCCCTCTGGTGCCTCATGGCTGATTGCTTTAAGGGGTACATCTCCCCAGAGTAGGTGAGTGCGTCACTCTGTGGTAGTTGTTCTGCATGTAGGTCTTTCTGCTGTTGGGCTGAGGGCCATTCCTTGGGAGTGAGTCCATTTCTAGGCCTGAAGGGTAACCTGGGGCCATAGTCTTGGGGGTTCCACCAGATTGTATCTGATCAGTAATTCTGGTCATTTTTGTGGTTTTGAATTTTGTTCAACATTTTTCCTCCCACTCTATCCAGGATCTCCGGTTTTGATCCCCTTTCGAGTGGTTGGCATTGGTAGCCGGGAACCATCTAGTTCTTCTGGTGTCAGGGAAATGAAGACTGAAGTCCTCATGGTCCATCTTATCCTTGGACCAATGGTTTCCATATGCCTTTGATTTTCTTCACTCTTCTTTGATTCAGATGAGAAGAGACCAATAGTTGCATCAGAATTGGTCACTCAAAAGCTTATAAGACCTCAGTTGCTACTCACCAAAGTAGGTTGTGCAATAAGATTTTTATGTACTGTGTTGTGCCAGTTAAGCATGATATCATCCCCCGAGACTACAGTCCCAAGTTGGCAGGCCTGGTAATTCTCTCTCTCTCAAGGTGTTTGGTTGTCTCTAAGAGGTTGCTCCCACCTCTGTCTTCTGTTGCTTCTGTAATGTGTGTGGTTAATTTTGTAGCATAAATCCATATGTAAGATTATCTTCAGCCAAATCTACCCTTGGTCTAGGGTATATTCCTATTCACCCACCCCCACCTGATCTTCTCACCTGTCTATGCATTTATCTGTAGCCTGGTGTTTGGTGTTAGTAATAATGCAGTATGGTGCATATACAATTATTTGCCTCTGTTGTCTATATCTTATATGCATGCTTCAGTGTCCTTCCTTTCCCCGATGTCATCATGCTGGTCACAGACTCTTTCCATACTGTTCTTCCCCTCACCAAATCAACATGTGACTCCAAACTAGTCCTAAAATTTCCCTCTCCTTCCCTCCCACCCCTGGTAACAAACAGAGTTTCCTTCCCTAAGTAAACCTTTCCTTATGGGCTCATATAGTATTTGTCCTTCTGCGATTGACTTATTTCACTCAGCATAATGTCCTCCAAATTGATCCACATTGTGAGATGATTCATGTATTCTTCATTATTCTTTAATGTAGCATAGTATTCCACTTTCTGACTGTACCATAGTTTGGTTACCCATTCATCTGTTGATGGGCAATTAGGTTGTTTCCATCTCTTTGCTATCGTGAATTGTGCTGTGATGAACATGGTATGCATATGTGTGTTCGTGTCCTGTCACCTGTTTAGGATATATTCCTAGTAAAGGAATCACTAGATCAACTAGTATTTCTATTTTCAGTTTTTTAATGAAATGCCATACAATTTTCCATACTGGTTGTACCATTTTGCAGTTCCACCAGCAGTGTATGAGAGCTAATCTGTCCACAACCTCACTAGCATTTGTTATTTTCAGTCTTTTTTTAATTTATTTTTTAAATTGTGATTTGGGTGAAAGTTTACAGAACAAATTCACTTTCCATACAACAGTTCACATATACTTTGTCTCATGATATTGACCATAATTTACCACAATGCAACAGCTCCCCTCCTACTTCCTCCTGAAAGTTACCTCTTTCCTGTGTCCATCTCTGCATGCACTCCTGCCCCCCAAGCTGTCTCCCTGTGCATAAGCAGCCCTTCTTTGTCCCATGATTGTTCTCTCCAAGGAATGTATCTACCTCAGGTAAGTGTTCGGCTCATATGCCTGTCTATTGTTCGGCTGGAAGTCACAGGCATGAGTTCATTTCCAGACCTGAAGGGCAGCTAGGGGCCATAGTCTCAGTGGTTTCACCAGGCACCATCGGACCAGCAAATCTGGGCCCCACCCCCTTTTTTTTTGCTCCAAATGATTTTGAATTTTGCTCCACATTGTTCTCCCTCTCCATCCAGGATCTCCTACATAGATCCCCTTCCAAGTGGTTGACAGTAGTAGCCAGGTACCATCTAGTTCTTCTTGTCTCATAGTCGTATAGGCTGCAGATTGGATGGTGTACCAGTTGCTAGGACTAATTGTTTCCATGAATTTTTGGTTTTCTTCATTCTCCTTTGCTCTGGATGAGGAGAGACCCATCATTGCATCCAGTTGGCAGCTTGCTAACTTTTAAGATCCCAGTCGCTACTCGCCAAAGTAGGAGGTGGAACAATGTTTTGTGTAGTATGTTATGCCAGTTGAGCTTGATGTCCCCTGCGACTATGGTCCCAAGCCCACAGGTTCAACTACTTGGTCCACTGGGGTAGCTGGCTATGACCAAGCAGTGACTACAACCTTGCCCCTTGTCAGCTCTACTATACACCTGGGAATTCAGATCAAGCCCATAAACTTACAGGACCATTGTCTGCCAACTTATACATGTTCTTGGGTACACTCCCTGCTTCATAGACATACCTAATAGTTCAGCCTGTCTACCCATCTATCCACCTGTATATCCATGTTTGCCTTCACTGACAACGCAATACTGTATGTGCAAAAGGGTTCATCTTTGTTGTCTGTACCTCCCATGTACCTCTCTATGCCTTTCTCTTCCTCAGTGCCAGCATATTGATCACTCACATTTGGTAAATTGCCCTTCTCTTCACCCAAATCAATACTTATCTCTACCTATCTAATAGTGTTCCCTCCCCTTCCCTCCCATCC